TATATATATATATATATATATATATATATATATAGAGAGAGAGAGAGAGAGAGAGAGAGAGAGAGAGAGAGAGTAGAGTAGGTGGAGTCAAAGAGAAGCATGGAGCTACCACAGGGAAAAGACATGCTCTGCCTGCTAGCTGAAACCTTGCTGGTAGGCCACGAGCCTCGTGGTAATATAAAATAATGGAAATGGGTTAATTCTAGATGTAAGAGTTAGATAGAAATATGCTTATGCTATTGGACAAACAATATTACAATTAATATAATTTCTGAGTGGTTATTTCTGAACTGAGCTGCTGGGAACAAACAAGTAGCCTCCTACAACAAGCCTTCAAGAATTCTACCTACAGCAAGTACACTGCCCTTGGGAGACCCCTGTTTTTTTTTTCCTGCTTCATGAGTGATTTGTATCTCCTTCACTCACCCTGATTCCCCCCTCTCTTTACCTTCTGCACTTAAAAACTCTCTTGCTCCTGTTTTCATAATAACAGCACTTTTGTTATTGCTGTTTGTTTGAGACAAGACTTTCCTATGTAGCTCATTGCTATGTAGACCAGACTGGTCTCTTCTTTGCTGTGATCTTCTAGTTCCAGCCACCCAAGGCCTGGGATTTTAGGAATGAACCACCATGACCAGGTCACCTACATTTTTTTTTAATGACAACTTTTTCTTTAGCAGGTCAAATTTCTCTCTCTGAACGACAGCCTCAGAAACTCATCTGCTGGGTTAAGAGTCAGTAATGTACCTTGCAAACTAGCCTGATGGTGGCGTTAGACACCTTCAATGCCAGAACTTGGGAGGCAGAGCAAGGCAAAAAATCTCTGAGTTGGAAACCAGCCTTGTCTACAGAGTTAGTTCCAGAAAAGATCAACCAGGGCTACCGAGAGAAAACCTGTCTTGAAACCCCACACCCGAAAAAAAAAGAAAAGAGGATCTGAGTTTGGTCCCAGATCCCATATTAAAATAAGAACAGTTTTGCATGCTTGTAACCTTATCACTGGAGAGACAGAGACAAGATAATCCCAAGGGTTTTCCTGCCAGCTAGTGCGGGACTCTGTCTCACCATAAAGGTATGTAGTGCCTGAGAACCATTTGTTGTTATATTCTCTCTCTCTCATACACACACATAAACACACACACACACACACACACACACACACACACACACACACACAAAGAGAGAGAGAGACAGACAGACAGACAGACAGACACAGGAGGGAAGTTGTGTTCAACTGGTGATTTACCAGTCTGACATGGCAGTTGTTGGATTCCCTGTCAAGTATCAGGCTGCTGGATAAGGTCAATTAAGGGAGTTCCTGCTACATGGAGCCCACCTGGTAAGACCCTCCCAATTTTCCTTCTTTCGAACAGACATACCCTGCGCTCCATTGCTTTGGATCTTTGCTCACAAAGTTTTCTCTGACCCCTCTATAAGAACGTTCTGTATTATTTGAAGATTTGAGGAAAGGCAGAATACACCGTGTCACTGTAACCCATGATGAAGGCATTTAACAAAAGAGCTTCTAACACAGAGACCCACCAGCTCCTACAGCATCCTATAACTCCTTCAAACAGACACATGGTTACAAAAGACCTTCTGTCTGGAGGCTAGCCTTTGGGTATGGCAAGCTACCCACACAGCAAAAAAGTGGCCTTCCACCTCATCAGCTTCCTGGATGCTACACCAGGAGATGATCCTCTCATTTTGCCAAGACAGATAGTCCAAATACCCTCCACATACACAGAAAAATCTTTGGGCCTCTTGGATTCAACACCTAATGGCAAGCACTGCTTCTAAGACTAGAGTTCTCCAAAGACTAAGGAACGACTTGGGGTTGTCTGCATAGCCAAAAAAAAAAAACTGTCTCATTTGTTTATCCATCCCAGATCTAAGTAATGGTACTTGATGACTTAAGGTATGGGTAACTCATTACTTCATTACTTCAATACAGACAGGTGTGCCTCTTTCACAGGCTTCATAGTCTAGGATTAACAGGTTTCAGGAGTATCTTCAAAGATCCAGAGTTCCCAATTCCCTTTAATTGTCTTCTAAAATGTTCCTATTTCAGTTATCTTGCAAATACCTGCAGGTTCCTGAAAAAGTTCTGCTGTTTTATCATGAAATCTGGTCAGGTAAAAACTAACAGTCTCCAGAGCCTATTTTAACCTCACCCATTTTCATGCATTTTTTACAGGTCACTCCTGCTGTCCCGGGCAAGATCAACTTAAAAAGGGCCCTCCAGTTAAAGCCAACAATTTGACCAGCTCCTTGAACTTCATCATTGGTATGAACTGTCCTGACTCAAAAGGACACCTACCAACTAATATCTGATTTTAAAAGGGAATATCTGCTGTCATGTCTCAGTTATTCACTAGTGCCATTTTCTGTACCATCAGGACACATCTTTGTCCCATTCTTTCTGGCAGTTAATAACCCTTCCCATGATTAGCCCCATTCATTGGGTCAATAATAACAATATATTTTTTCTCCTAGCCAGCTGCCTTCTCATCTCTTCCAAGAAACAGATGCCTGACGTCTCCAGGATGGCAGAAAACCAGAGGCCTCTCTAACCACACCTATCACTTAATGTGAACCCACCAACTCCCAGCTCTCCCCTCTCCCACGTCGTCCTACGCCCACAGGAAGTAGCCAGACTAGAGATGATGCCCCCTTTATCCACAGAGTCTGGAATATTTGGTTGGAAGCATCACCTCAGCTCCCTGACACCTTTTTATTCAAAGAGTCTGGAATGTTGGTTGGTGGCTTCACCCCAGTTTCTGGCATCCATTTTTAAATATTGTATGGAAAGTTCTATTTCAAAGTCCCTACCCTGGGAGTTACCTTAGTCCAAACTCCAACGCCAAGAAATCCCACCAGTGATCCCTCCCAAGGAGGGTCAAGACCACTCCCATTGACTGTTTAAACTGCCCCCCCCCCCCCAGTACAAGCACGTGGCCTTCTCACTTCTCCTCTCCCCTCTCCATGTTTTCCCAGAGGGCCACCCAGGAGCACTGGCATCCATTAAACCTGGGGATATTCTAATTTGGTTTGATTTCATCTGATTTGGTTTACTGCGTTGGTGGAGAGGTTTGTCAGACTGGAAAAAAATTTAACACCTCTTCGTTAGATCATTGCCTGCTATAGAGATCATTCTGAACCCTAAGTGGTTTAGTAGGATTATACTCAAAATAAATCTTGAAAAGTTGCCAAACAGGTACTAATTAAAATTGATATTATATAAATCCTAGTTAAGCTAATTATCCTTACATTTAATTGTTACATTTTCAAACCATCCATTGTAGAATCAAACAGAGACATAACCCCTCTGTCATAACATTCTTTCCCATTTTTAACTTGGGAAAATAAAACTCTTTTTTTTAACTAATTTCCCCCCTTTAATTCCCGGTTGTCTTACCTAATATACTGATGACGGCACTGAAGTGTAAGGCTGGCTGTCACTGCATAGCACAGTTAGTCAGAGGAAAGATTCAGTGTTCAGCCTGGCTGAGGGCAGCTGTATCTTCTTGTGTGAGCTGAGAGTATGTGGTAGTTGCAACAACAGAAGCCACTTTGGGTGTTGATGTGGCTAATTTAGTGTGAGAGAATTCTAAGATGGGGTTCCAAGGAAGCCTACAGCCCACAGGGAGAAGGAGGCAAGGAGCCAACTATCTGAAAAGCAGACACAGGGGGAACGGATGGAAACAGCATGTGGAGTTGGAGCTGCCTGATGGTAGAACATGCCAGTCATGTACAGCTAACTCCGGTGTTGGAGCCTAGGCACCTTTGGAATTTGGGGCCTGTGGAATTTGGGTGTCAGCTCTAGGATGTTATAAGAGAGATTGCAACAAGAATATCTGACTCACTCAGAAGGTTTGAAGCAGAAAAAAAAAAAGGGGTGCAACCAGCGTCATGTTGCCTCTGGCATCGGTGCTTCTGGTGGCTTCAAAGCCATGGGTGATCAGCTGTCTTGTGTTTTCATGCCCAGAGTTGAACACCAAGTGAAACATTTACCTAACTATTCTTTATCAATAAAAATTGGGAATTCAGATATCAGTGTAACACCCTAAATAATCAGAGAAGCAAAGGAGAATCCACCATGACCTTTCTCTTCTAGTCTTTAATCCAAAAGGCTGAAATCCTCTCTCAATTCCACTTTACTACTTCCTGTCTCAGTTCCCTAAGACCTCTATAGTTAATTTTGGTCAGTTAGGTGTTAGTTCTGCCCTCTAGATCAAGGTTAACTTTATTGTGAGAATACAATCAAAATAACACGCAACACAATACAGAGTTTTTACAGGGTTTATCTGTGTAGCCTTGGCCATTCAAGAACTTGTTCTGTAGACCAGGCTGTCCTCAAATTTAGAGATCCACCTGGAATGCTGGGATTACAGTGGGATGGAGCATCATGAAACAGCATTTCAGGATATTTTATAACTCAACAGAATGATAAATCCTACCTAAACTGCATAGATATTAAATTTCTCTTCAAATTCCTGTAATAGCTAATAGCTTTACTTTTTACTTTGTTATGAGGTAAATTGTGCCCCCCTTTGCCTAAACACCCATGTTGAAATTCTACTCAGCAGTATGACAATGTTAGGATGTAGGGCCCCTAGGAAGAAATTAAGTTTATGAGATCATAAAAACACAGCCTTCATTACTGCAATTAGTGTTCTTATAAAAGCTCCCCACACAACTTTCTTATTTGTCTCCTATACCATATGAAGATAAAAAGAGTTAGCAATCTACAGTCATCAAAAGGACCCTTCACACGTGGTGCCATGTTCTTATTCTCATTTCAGGCTTACCGCTCCCAGAACTGTAAGAAATGAATAATGTTGTCAACAAACCATTCAGTGTGTAACATGTGGTTATGGCAGCCTGAAATAACAAAACTGCAAATAAAACCTCTAGCAAAATCACCCTGTTCCACTCTGGAAGCTTTTCTGCTTCTGTTACTAATACTTGATGCAACAAACAGGTGAGGTAAAATGTGTACTCAGCTCAGAGATTGGCAAGATTTGGTATATAATTGACATGTTTCCTCTCAACTTTCTAAAGGAAACATAACATCATGGAGAATTCCTTGAGGAACCAAAATCCGCATAACTGCTATAAAGCAAAGAAGAAAGGAAAGAGGACAGAGGCCTGATTTTGTCTTGAAAATTCCCATTTCCTCTGTTCTTAAGCATCTACAACACACAATGGAAGTGGTAAAGATGGAGATTAAGCCTTGAATGTCTTCCCCTTTAGCGGACATTGCTAATGCAAATTATGACATGCTTTGTGTGTTTGGAGTGCTCAACAATGTTGCTTATTTTCCACTTTATATTTTATCTAAAATTCTGCAATATATCTTTTAAACCACTATCTTTAAGAATAATAATAATAAAGCTTCAATAGTGTTATACTGCTATGAGACAATAAGGACCCTACTAGGTACCTAGTCATGATTAATAAAAATCCCAATGTGGTGAAAGGCTTTGATATTGTTGGCAAGTTTGCATCTATAGACACCTTAATATTACACATTATTCCTAGTGCTGTTGGTTATCCTTCAGAATCTGTGGGTAAGAAGCTACTGCTGAAGACACCACATACTTGAGTCATAAAAAAATTGAAAAGTTTAAGCTATCACTTACCTAAAAGCTTCCCCATTTATGAATAACTTTCTGGAAGGCTCTACATAAACTACCAGTGGAGAAAAGTAATCACCAAATTTACACAGCTGTGCATTCTGAGTCTTGCAAGTTCTAACAATAGCTGACCTAGCAAGACATCCCTATGGTTACAAGAGTGGCATGAATAACAGGGAAAGTCGGTTACTTTAAGGCATGTGGTACTTGTGGTTTTCCACCCCCTAGTGAATGCCTCCTATTCGAGAGTATATGGAAAACATAGACTGGTCTTGATAGGCTGAAGAGATAAGGGTATACAATTCAGTGGACTGAAAAGGGATGGTAAATCTGGTAGAATTAGGGAAAATGATACACACTATTAAAATGCATTTGATTGAATTCTCAAATGGCTAATACAAATGAGTGTTGGGGGAGGCTGCTTGTTTGTTCCCGGCTGCCCAGATCACGAAATAATCACTCCAACCTAAATTATTTAAATGACTCTTTGACCAATCACGTAAGTGTATTGTTAGCTAGCTTTTATATCTTTGGAGTAGAATTAAAAGATTTTCATACAATAGAAAAATCACTTGCAAAAGAGTTCACTTGTTCATGCTGAGGACACAGTACAGTTGGACAATATCATTCATGCCACCATGCTGTAAATAGTAATAATAATTATAATTTATTAGTAGTAATATTATACAATATTATAATATGTATTTGTAATATAATATTAGTAATATAGCATAAGTAATATTAGAGTATTAGCAAATTTAATGGATACATTTGTAATAATAAATGAATGTAGTAGATTCATTTATATGAGACACAGCCAAATCTAAGGTCAAGTCCATATCCTCAGGTCCATTCAGTTAATCTCTCTAATATATAGACAATATAAATGGCAACTGGCATGAAATTGATAATTAAATTTGGTTTCAGTTTGCTTTCCTAGTCACTGCTCCTACTTATATCTGTTGGACAGCAGAATTATCATTGTTAATAACAATACATTTCATGTTTCAGAATTGCTCACTACCAAGTGGTAGGTAAGTTATTTGGTGCTTACATTGATTACCTTTTTAACAATTATTTCTCTATAATGTATTTAGTTAGCTCTCTGTACAAGAGGGTTTTATATCCTTGGTTTGATTCAGTTGTCCACTAGTATCAAATGTATTTGAAAACAGTGTGTGCACACAGACATATCATATATAATGTAGGTGTCATTATTTTCTAAATAGTAGCCTAAGAATGATAACATAGTATATTAAATTTTACATACAATCCAGAAAAGTAGAGGAATATATTGTGTGTGAACCATTGCTGTAATGAAATATCTGCATTATTTAACTTACAAAAAAAGAATGATAAGTTTTGCTCAGATATTTAGTTTTGGAAGGTGTGGCCCATAAATACTGACTGTTGCTTCAGACCTAAGGAAAGTAGAATACACGGAGGAAAAACCTTAGAAAAAAGCTGCATATCACACGGTGGCCAGAAAATGAACAAAACGAAGAGACTTTTTCACATTCTTCTTGAGTGCATACCTTGACTAATGATTTTTCCACCATCCATGTTCACCAAAACTAAGGACAAAGTATGTAATGTTTTGTCATTTTAGATATTCTCTGTTTCCAAAGATTTCAAGGAATAATACACAAACTATAAACAGATACTATCACATTAGGTCAAAGGAGTTTACTTTCAGATTTTGGTCAGTTGAGGTGACAGAACCCATCATAGATGCATGCAAAGTGGTGACTCACTAGAAATACATAAATGTATCACATTCCCCCCACAAACAGATCAACTATGCGATGTCAATTAAAATGTTATTTGTGTTAAATGTCTGTCATAGGTAGGGTTTCTATTACTGTAAAAAGATACAATGACCATGAGAGGTCTTATAATGTAAAACATTTAATTGGGGGAGCTTGCTTAAAGTTTCACAGATTCCGTTCATTATCATCATGGTGGCAAGCATGGTAGTGTTCAGACAGAGACTGTGCTTGAGAAGTAGTTGAAAGTTCTTATATCTTTCAGGCAATAAGAAGTCAACCAGGGATTACATTCAGCAAAGATTAAGCAAAAGAGACCTCAAAACCCACTTCTGAAGTGACATATTTCCTACAACAAGGCCATACCTACTCCAAAAAGCCACACCCCCTAATAATGTGACTCTCTTTGGGGGCCATTTTCTTTCAACCACAACATCTGACATGTTATCAAGACTAACAACCTGGCTGGGAATCCAGTTTCTCAAATATGCTGAACATTTAATGCACTACAGAGCTGCAGGCTCAACATCCTTTTTAAATTCTAATTGAGAAAAACAAT